ACCCCCCAGGGGGGATGGCCACGCCGCAATCCCTTCTCCTCCATTCTCCTCTCGGGATCTTGGGCACGCACGCACACGCGCCTGGCATGAGTTTAAGCCACCGGGTCCGGGACTCAAACTGTAGTCGGCTACATGGGAGTCCAGTGACATAGCCATTACGCCAACTGCTGGTCCCCTGGCATGGTTTTCAAACTACCGGGTCCTGGGCTTGAACCTGTGGTCAGCCATGTGGGATCTAGTGTCTGGCCCCTGGCCCGTTTTTTATGTTTGTTTTTTTTTTTTTTAAAGATTTTTGCTGTAGGGTGCATGCACGTGCCTGAGAGACAAGAGAGAAAAAGTGAGAAATCACCCCCAGGGGGATGGCCATACCACAATCCCCTCCCCTCCATTCTCCTCTCAGGATTGTGGGCGTGCACGCACACACACCCAGCATGAGTTTCAAGCTTTCCTGGTCCAGGATTCAAACCATGGTCAACCATGTGAGAGTCCAGGACTTTAAACACTGTGCCACCTGCTAGCATCCCCCCACCCCCCCCACACACACACACACACACACGCTTGTTTGAAATCCCTGAAAGGAATTTATTTGCTGTCACCCTGGCGCACCTCCCACCCGAGTCACCGATGCGGTCTGGGTGGTCCTGGGGCCACGGGGAGTTCCCAGGGGTGGCCCCACATCGCATCAGAACGTGCAGCCGCGGCCCTGCTCATCCCACAGCGTCTGGGGTCTGCCTCCAGGCACCCTCCTCCGGCTGGTCCCAACAGGTGACCTGGCAAGCAGGTGCTCTGGGTGTCCCTGGCTGAGCATGGACTTCCGTTCCTTGTTTCCCCAGACATCCCTTAACAAGCTCTTGGAGGCGCTGGGCAAGGCCGAGCCCTTCTTCATCCGCTGCATCCGCTCCAACGCTGAGAAGGTGAGTGAACCCCCCGTGTCAGGGAGGTGAGACCCTGCACCTCACCCCAGCGGTCCAGGATCGTCCTGGGAGCCACAGGGTGCCAGGAAGCACCTTGGCCCTCTGGATGCAACCACCTACCCTCCGGTCATTCCCTCCCACTTGTCCTCTAAGCCCGCCAGCGTGACAGCCAGGCCCCTGAGCTCTGGGCTCGAAACCCACCGGGGTAGCCTCACGTCCAGGCTCTCCTCCCCTCTCCCTGCTCCTCCAGGGGCAAGCGTCTTCCCAGGTCCCCGTGGGCGCCTCAGCTGCTTTCTCCTCCTCTCTGTGCTCCTTGACCATTCCGTCCTCAGCCCTCAAGGCTCTGTCCCCTCTCTCTCTGTCGGGACACCTCCCATGGGGCCCGACTCCCGCCCCCAACACTCACTCGGATGCCTTCAGACAGCAATAAGCTCAGCATGGGTTTACTGTGGGGCCTTTTCTTTTTAAGTTTAAGAGTTAGTGATATGGGGCCCGCAGGTGGTGTGCTGGTAAGGCACTGGACTCCCACATGACCAACCACAGTTCAAATCCTAGACCTGGTAGCTTGCTTTCTCGCTTTCTCTCTGTCTCTTTCTCTGTCTCTGTCTCTCTTATTGCTTTAAGAATTATTTAATTTTATTTATACACTCAGTCATTTTCTTTTGCCCAGAGAGAATGAAGGTGAGAAAGCAAGCCACCAGGTCCGAGGCTCGAACCGCAGTCAACCATGTGGGAATATCTTGCGCCTTAACCACCACACCCCCTGTTGACCTGTCTTTCTCTCTCTTTTTCCCTCTCTCTCTCTCTCTGGCCCAATTAAAAAACAATAATAATAATAAATAATTATCTGGGGGGGAAAAAGACTTACTAGCATGATTTTTTTCATTATTTATTCATTCATTTATTTTAATTTGACCAAAGAGAGGCAGAGAGCAAGAGAGAGGATAAGTGAGAAAGCAAGCCACCAGGTTCGGGACTCAAACCATGATCGGCCACGTGGGGGTGTCCAGTGCCTTAACCACCACGCCACCTGCTGGTCCCGCATGATTTATTTTTTAATTTGACCAGAGAGAGGAAGAAAGGGAAAAGAAGAAAGCAAACCTCCAGGTCTGGAACTCAGACAACGGCCTACCATGTGGGAGTCCAGCATCCCAATCACCCTGCCATGTGCTGGCCCTGGGCTTTTTTTTTTTTTTTTTTTTTTAGAGGTTTTTGTCTCTGGGCGTATGCACTGGGCAGAGGGAGAGAGAAACAGAGACAGTGAGAAGGGAAGTGAAAAATCACCCTCCAGGAGGATGGCCATTCCGCCATCCCTTCTCCTTCTGGGATCTTAGGCATGCACACACATGTGCCCGGCATGATTTTCAAGCACCGGGTCCGGGACTCGAACTGCGGTCAGTCATGTGGGAATCCAGTGATATAACTGCTATGCCACCTTAAAGTTTATGTGTTTCTCTCATGAGCAAGAGAGAGAGAGGAAGAGGAAGCACCCCAATAGGGTTCTGTGCCACAATCCACCCTCCTTCTTAGTCGGCCTGAATCGTAAGCATGCATATGCACCTAACATGTACCGTGAGGTCCCGGGACACGAACCGAGGACCTTCCTGTGATGGTCCAGTTGCATTACCACTGTGCCACTTGATCCTGGATTTTTGTTTTGTCCTGTTTTGTTTTGTCAATTTGCTATAGGATGCATGCACTCACCAAAGAGCAACAGAGAGACAGGGGCCAGCAGGTGGCGTGGTGATTAAGGGTGCTGGACTCCTATGTGGCCAACTGTGGTTTGAGTCCCAGACCTGGTGGCTTGCTTTCTCACTTTCCCTCTCCCTCCCGCTCGCCCGCGCTCTCTCTCTCGCACGTGCGCTCTCTCTCTCTCTCTCTCTCTCTCTCTCTCGCTCTGTGCCTCTCTGGTCAAGTTAAATAAATAAATGGATAAATAAAGTTAAATAAAATGATTCTTTAAGAAAACCGGGGGGTGCGGGGGACACTGAGAAAGCAATCGTCCAGCAGGGAGTGCCCACCCCATAATTTCATCTCCTCCATTTCCCCCTTAGATTTTGGGCAAACAGACACACACACACGGTATGTTTTTCAAGCCACCAGATCTGGGACTCGATCCACACAGCAACATGGGAGCCAGTTACCTTAACCACTATGACACTGGCTGGCCCACCTGGGCCCTTTTTTATAAAAGGAACTCTTTGCAGGCACCAGACAGTGACCCAGGAGTAAAATACGACACTGCAGGGCAATCTCAGCTGGAAAGGTTCCCATGTGATGTCTGGAGACCTCCCTGCATGCACCAGGCATGGGAATGCCTGTGATCCAGGACCCGCTGAAGGCTGGGGGTGGATCATGGCATGGGGGGGGTGCTGTCTCTGTTTCTCTATCTCTTGCACTCATGGAACAAATAAATAGATGAACTTTATAGAAAGCTCTTTTTCAGCAAATGGTCCAAGCAAGGCTATAAGAAATAGCAGGCATCTCCAGGGAAGATACTTGAATCTGAATAATGTAAGAGATGAGAGATTGGGGCCAGCAGGTGGTGTGGTGGTTAAGGCACTGGACACTCCCACATGGTTGACCATGGTTCAAGTCCTGGACCTGGCGGCTGGCTTTCTCACTTTCCTTCTCTCTGTGTGTCTGTCTTTCCCTGGTCAAATGAAAATAAATGAATGAATAAATAAAATTAAATAATTCTTTTAAAGCAAAAAAAGAGAGATGAGAGATTTATTCAGCTCTCACTTTGAGGTTCAGAGTCCAGGGCCACATCTGTGTCATAAAAGGTCAGGGACCTTAGCAAAGCTCAGTGTGGTTGGTACCCTTGAGGGTCTCTGTCTGCCTCGTTCCCTCCTTCTATAAACCTACCAGGCCCCACCCTAACCATCCAATCACTAATCTCCTCCTAAAGTCCCCATCCTTCAACACCCTTGGACAGTTTTTACCCTTTTAATCCCGTTACATCAAATCTCAACACATGAGTTGTCAGGGTGTCCCTGACAACTCGTTTGTATATGGACTCCCAAGCAACAGTTGTCGCATGGCAGCTGGTACCTCAATCTCACTCTCCTCTCCCCACCCTGTAGCAGGCTTGGAAGTCATGTCGGGCATGGGCATGTGTCCTGATCGCTCACACGTTTGTTTCAGAAAGAGCTATGCTTCGACGAGGAGCTGGTTTTGCAGCAGCTGCGCTACACGGGAATGCTGGAGACCGTGCGCATCCGGAGGTCAGGCTACAGCGCCAAGTACACGTTCCAGGTGAGCCTCAAGTACACATACATGCACACATGTATCCACCTATGAACCAACAGAGGTTCTAGCCAGCCGGCTTCCTCTTACAAAAAGAGTACCTCTCTGGAGTATAAGTGTGGCCATTTTCTTTATACTGGAGTGTCTTTACTGCAACACTGTCCATATTTGAACTGGATTATTTTTTGTCATGGTGTGATACATATTTCTTTTTGGTTTTTTTATTTTATTTTATTTTTTTTTTAAGAAAGAGATCATCCCCCAGGGGGAATAGCCACACTACAATTTCTTCTCATCCATTCTCTGGGATTTTGGGCCTGCACACACACATACCTGGCAGTATGGGTTTTAAGTCTCCGGATCCAGAACTCAAACTGTAGTCGACTACACAGGAGGCCAGCGACATAAACATTACGCTATCTGCTGGTCCCAGTGTGGGGCATATTTCTTCAGCAAGGGTGGCTGGGCCCAAACCAAATCTGGAAAGGTACAGAGTATTAAAGCAAGCCAGCAAGAAAGGAGTACACAAGCAATTACGTTCAGAACCTGCCCCTCAGTGAACATCTTCTGCAGTAGATATTTTTATACCCAGCTCTTTTACCTTCACAAATACTGACAAGAGGATCCTTGTGCCTTTGTTTTTTTTGGTTTTGGTTCTTGTTTTTGCTAGAGGCTGTGTATATACCAGAGAAAGAAAGTACCCTTCCATGGGGCCTGGTCACCCTTTAATCTGTTCTCCATTTCTCCCTCCTTGTGGGATTTCAAGCATGCATGCACATGCACCCAGCATGTTTTTCAAGCCGCTAGGTCTAGGTCTCCAGCCGTATAGTCAGGCATGTGGGATCCAGTTGTCCTAATCACCAGACTATGGACTGACCTAAATACTTTTTACTTTTTTTTTTTTAAATGTTTATTTATCTCTTTCTCTCCCTCTACCCCCATCAGTTTGTCTTTCTTCATCTCTTTTCTCATTTAAAAAAAATACAAGTAAAAAGGCTTGTATCAGACCAGCAGGTGGTGTGAAGGATAAGATGCCTGGAGGTTAAGATCCCACATGGCCAATGCCTAGACCCAGCAGCTTGAAAATCGTGCTGGGTACATGTGCGTGCATGCCCCAAATCCCAAGAGAATAAAGAAGAAAGGTTTACGACATGGTCATTCCCCTTGAGGGGTGGCGATTTCTCACTTTCCCCTCTCTCTTTCTCCAGTGAGCGCACACACCCTGTAGCGAATGTTAAAAATCAATAAATCAATAGATTTAGACTTTTTCCCAAAACACGAAAATCTTAATTTTTTTTTTAGTACTATTTCCATAAGATCAAACCTTAGCTCGATCAGGGAATCCCTAGGGCAGAAACGCTCACACGAATTCTCCTTTGTCCACCACATCACGTAGGACTTCACGGAGCAGTTCCAGGTGCTGTTGCCCAAGAATGCCCAGCCCTGCAGGGACGTCATCGCCGCCCTCCTGGAGAAGATGAACATAGACAAGAAGAGCTACCAGATCGGCAAGACCAAGGTCAGAACCCCCCAGGGCAACTGCAGACCCGAACCCCACCTTCTACTACACCCAGACACCAGGGAGCTGCCTGCTCCCTTGGAAGGCCTCACCTGACATACCCCCGCCCCTTACAACTTCTCAACCAGTTCATCAGAGTTGCCTTAGGATCTTAGGATCCCCAAGAGAATTAAAAACAGATGTGCTATGGGACCAGCAGGTGACGTGGTGGTTAAGGTGCTGGACACTCTCACATGGCCGACCACGGTTCTAGTCCCAGACCTAGTGGCTTGCTTTCTCACTTTCCCTCTCTTTCTCTGGGTGTATGTGTCTCTCTCTGGTCAAATTAAATGAATGAATGAGGGACCAGCAGATAGCGTAAAGGCTAAGTCGCTGGACTCCCATGTATGTTACCGTGGTTCAAGTCCCGGACCCGGTGGCTGGAACTCACACCCGGTGCGTGTGCATACGTGCCCAAGATCCAGAGAGGAGAATGGAGGAGAAGGGATTGCTGAGTGGCCATCACCCCTGGTGGATGATTTCTTGCTTTCTGTCTCTCTCTGTCTCTCAGGTGAGCGCACACGCCCTATACCCCCCCCAAAAAAATCTCTCCAATAAATAAATTCTTTTAAAAAGGAACAAAAACAGATGTATTCACTGACATGTGTTCACAGCAGCCCTGTTCACCACAAGTAAAAGCTGGAGACAACCCAAATGTTCCTCAGTTAGTGAGTGGATAAACCAAATGCGGTATGTCCATGCAATGGAATATAACGCAGTCATGAAAAGGGATGGGTCTCTGGCATAGGCTGCAGCGAGGATAAGCTGAGTGAGAGAAGCTGGACACCCAAGGCCATGTGGTGTGGGAAACATCCATAGGAAATATCCAGAACAGACAGATCCATGAAGTCAGGAAGCAGATTGGGACCAGCAGTTGGCATAATGGTTATGTTGCTGGACTCCCATGTAGTCGACTGCAGTTCGAGTCCCAGACCCGGTGGCTTAAACTCACGCCAGGCGAGTGCACGCGCCCTATAGCAAAAACCTCTCAAAAAAAAAAAAAAAAAGAATTACTTATTTTTCATTTTTATTTATTCATTTATTTATCTTAATTTGACCAGAGAGCAAGAGAGAGAGAAAGCGAGAAAGCAAGCCACCAGGTTCAAGACTCGAACCATGGTCAGCCATGTGGGAGTGTCCACCACCTTCACCACCACACCACCTGCTGGTCCCACTTCCTCAGTATGTTCAAAACAGAATCTTGGAGGGCCAGGAAGTGACGTGGTGGTGAAGGCACTAGACTCCCACATGGCTGACCACAGTTCGAGTCCCAGACCCGGTGGTTTGAAAATCACGCTGGGTGCATGTATATTTCTGCCAGAAATCCTGCAAGCAGAATAAGGAGAAGGGGTTGCGGTTTGCCCCCCCACCCCGGGGGGGCAGATTTCTCACTTTCTCTCTATCTCTGGCGAGCACACATACCCAATGGCAAAAACCTAAAAACGTCAGTTACTGAAAAAATGAAGCCTTAGGCCCCCAGCCTGGATCTCACGTCCTGAGTAGGCCTGGCAGACCTTCTAGGCACAGGGCTGCCCCGGGACAGTGTGGCTGATCCCAACCAACCCCCACCCCTACCAGGTCTTCCTGAAGGAGACAGAGCGGCAGGCCCTGCAGGAGACACTGCACCGGGAGGTCGTGCGGAAGATCCTTCTCCTACAAAGCTGGTTCCGGATGGTTCTGGAACGCCGGAACTTCCTGCAGATGAAACGGGCAGCCACCACCATCCAGGCCTGCTGGCGGTCCTACCGTGTCCGGAGGGCGCTGGAGAGGACGCAGGCAGCTGTGTACCTGCAGGCTGCGTGGAGGGGCAACGGGCGGCCTACCGGCGTCGGAGACAGAGCATCATCCGCCTGCAGAGCCTCTGCCGGGGGCATCTGCAGCGCAAGAGGTGAGCGCAGCAGGACCCTCTGCTCCCCGGAATATTCCAGAAACCTGGAGGGCCAGCCCCGTGGTCTAGTGGTTAAGGAAACTGGTTCTCACAGGGCTGAGTGCAGTTCGAATCCCACTCGGGTGTCTGAAAAATGATGCCAGGCACGTGTGCATGCATACTGCAAATCCTGACAGGGTGGACAGATGGAGAAGGCATTATATAACCGCTCCCATGTGGCCAGCCGGTGACGGTGTGGTTAAGACGCTGGACACTCCCACATGGCCGACCACGGTTCGAATCCCGGACCTGGTGTCTCACTTTCCTTCTCTCTGTGTGTCTGTCTTTCTCTGGT